TCCCGAAGTTTGGTCCATTCCTCCTGCGACACCCTGTATATATATATATATATATATATAAACTGACACGATAAGTTACCGGTGTGAAATACTTGCAGACCACAAGTTGAAGTTGTGCTTACAGAAGCAAAGGGGAAAATAACGAATAACTTTTAAATGTTTCCAGTCAAATGTATCACATTAACATTTCTATGGCCATTCTTGAAAAGGTATTGCTGGGCTTCCAAACCCAAGATTATCATCCGACTGACCTACCCCCATAAATATACTTAGAAGTTTAAAACGCAAGTGAACAGAACTTTCTTTTTAAATTATGCGTTAATTTTAAGAATTCTTTTCAAAGAGAGAAGAACGGCTGATATAGAGCTCATGTGTGTCTGTGATCCAACATAACAGACTAAACCACAGGTGAACAAATGTCACTCGTCCACTTGTTTTCGTCTCTAATGCAGCATACACATTTATTTCAAAATGTCATTACACTCACATTTAAATTTCCTAAAATGCCATTAAAATCATATTTTATTTTACTGTTGCGATATGTTTCGGTCCTATAAGGCCATTCTCGGACAACTGTTAATTGATCGAAACTACTGCACGTCACTACTCACGGTAGCTCCACATTGCGCCGTCCACACTGTTCCTCCTGTGCGTAGCTCTCCCGCCCCTCGCTGCACAAATGCGCTTCTCCTATGTTAACTCGTTTTTCCATTCCATTTATATCATTTTTTTTTTTTACTGAGAACTTTGATACCTGACAACTGAATTTCAACTGAGTGTGGAACGCAATAGGCTTAGTGGGAAACTGCACGTAGATGCCGCCGTAGGCGCCGGCTCGGGAAGGAAAACTGATGCCTCCGCCCCTTTGGTTAAAAAATAAAATTGAGAGAGAGGAGACCTTAATAGCAATAGCACATATTAATAGCAAAATTTAAAATTATTTAAAATTTGATTCTTATATCATGAACATCGTAGGATTGTCAATAAAATTAGTTTTAAACATAAGTATGTGAGCACATTTTCTGCTTTCCTCCCTTTGACAAACTACCTGCCTTTTTCCTTGCAGAAAAAATCCGTGACACCCATAAGTACCATAGCGCGCAGGAAGATGTCAAAAAGCTGTCTCTTGCGCATTAGCAGTCACGTACAGTTGCTCATGTCAGGAAGTACCACTTCTATACTTCATCCGTATGGATTTTAGTTCTTCTCAACTTGTCATTTGGGAGCCGGGATAGCGCAGTCGGTATAGAGACTGGCTACGGGCTAGACGACTGAGGGGTCGGAGTTCGAGTCCCGGTATGCTCAAGAATTTTCTCTTCTCCACGTTGTCCAGATCGACTCTGGGGTCCACCAAATCCCCTATCCAATGGGTACGGGAGACTCTTTCCCCGGGGGTTAAAGCGGCCGGGTCGTTAAGTTGACCACTCACCTCCAGCTACTGCCGAGGTCAAGAAAATGTGGATCTATACATTCACTCGCCCATACGCCTTCATGGCTTAGTGCTTAATTAGTTATGCACAGGGACAACTTTACTTTACCTCGAGTTACCACTTAACTTGTTAGTTTATCCTGGCAGCCACTTTCATCTCGAAACAAATGGCTGAATGAATCTTCTAGAAAGAGCTCTCGCACTGTAATGCAGCCAAGCAAAAAGTTCTCACAGATTGGCCTGCACTCCCTTCACTCCCGTTAGCTAAATACTTCCTTCTACACTAGCATCAGGATTGAATGGGCTATTTTTATTATTATTTTGGAGGGGGTGGGTTTGCCCATGCACTGCGACCAGTTGTTGATCTATTGTGCGCCCCCTTTAATTATTCTACTAGCCGCCATGCCCTTCCAGTACTGGTGCTCGCTATCAGCCCCGTTCTGCCAGCGAGGTCGGCCCTCTCTGGCAGTGGTCCCCGATATTTCCCCATCTACCGGAGGAATTGGAAACTACTTGGGCGGGAAACTTTGCCTAATTTTGCTCAGAGGTCTCCTAGAGACTTGAGGATCTTTTACGTGCCATAAATCTACGACACGGGGGACACAGCTTAAAGTCCCTCCCAGAGGACTTGTTCCCTGAATTTTTCCACCCTTAAAAATTCCAAGACCTCCGCTGGGTTTTAACCATGTACCTTGAGTCATGAGGTTTAGTCAACGGTTTGGTATGTAGCCTCTTCTGGATTTCTACTTACAACACCATGGGAGAAACCTTAGACTGCCTTAGACATTCAAAGGAAAAACACGGGCCAGGTCACAAGATCTCTTGGTATGACTAACTGCTCAAGGAACAGCAGTTTGACTTGCCTACATTAGAGTCAGAAATAATATCACTGAGAACTTTCTTCAGCTCAGGCCACAAAACTTATGAAGGCAACAAAGTCCGTGAATATAATAAATTTTACAGGATGCTGGAGAATAGTTTTGTTATATGATCTGACAAGGGAGAGCTGTGTAAGCCTTACATATACTAGTTAGTTAGTTAGTTAGTTATTTAGAGAGGGTGGGTTTCCCCATGCACCGTGACCAGTTTGATCTATTGTGCTTCCCTCTATGATATTCTACCAGTCTCTTTACCCTACCGATAAATGGTGCATACCATCAGTCCCGCCAAGCAAGCGAGTTCGGCCACTTGCTTATCGTTGTCTATAATGCTTCCCCCATCTATCAGAGTCCTTAGAGACTACTGTTGGGCGGGAAACATCCTGGAATTTGGCTCAGTGATCCCCTTTGGGGATATGAGGTTCTTTTACGTGCCGTAAAGTTACGACACGGGACACACAGCTTAAAGTCCCTCCCGGAGGACTTTTCCCTGAATTTTTCCGCCCTTAAAAATTCGACGACCTCCGCTGGGTATTTCAACCCATGTACCACGAGTCATGAGGTGGGAACGTTACCTCTACACTATGGAGGCCGCTTTACATATACTAAGTCAATCCATGAAATTTCTCAGTGGGAAGGTGCTTTTTTGTCACTATGCCAAAGGACTGGCATTGCTTGTAGTAGGTTATGTTGTGGCACAATTCCTTCCTTTTTTTTTAACATACATGAACCCTTCCTGCTTCCAAAATTCTATAACCTGTATAAATGATCAGAAGAACATTTACATGATAGAGCAGAATCTATTTCAACTGTCTTACTTACTCAAGAAGCTGAGGCCTTCTTCAGGAGCCACGAATTCTGCAGCTACTCAAGAATTTACCAGCATTTTATGACACCCAAAGGTTCATTACCTTGTTCATAAGAGCTCTCCACTGGTCCCTATCCTGAACCAGACCAATTCAATCCATACCATCCCATCCTATCTCTCTAAGATCCATTTTAATATTGTTCACCCACTTGTGCCTTGGTTTTCCCAGTAGTCTTTCCATCTGGTGTTCCCACCAATATCCTAAATGCATTCCTCTTCTCCCCATTTGTGCTACATGCCCCGCCCACCTCATCTTCCTTGACTTGAACGTTCTAATTATACTTGGAGAAGCGTACACGTTATGAAACTCCTCATTGTGCAGTTTTCTCCAACCTCCTGTCACTTCAACTCTCTTCAGTTCATGAGTTAGTGTATTTTCAACTATCACTGAAAATTTTTATAAAAAAGTTATAGGAACACATTTGTAAAGTTCTAAGATGTGTATTAGATCTCATGTTAATGCATTATTTGACATCTCAGACTGAAATACATTTACTGACTAAAGAAATATATACCTTACTGCAACTATAATTATGAAGAAATAGCCACTTTTACAGGGGGCTGTTTGAACACACTTTCCACCGTTGAAAAGGTAAATCTATTTATATATTGCACTTTGTCAGATGGATGGCAGGTAGATAAAATTGAAAATTAAGTCTGTAACTGTTAGTTTACTTTATTGGGATAGGATACCTATATGCAGTAGTGATAACTTTACAGCCATGGGTGCACTCAAAGGAAGGTAATGAGTCCCACAATGCCGTGTGCTGGCTTCAAATACAATGTTAGGAAAGTCTATTTTCTAGAAACCAGTTTTAGTTTTACCAGAGAGTCAAACTTGTACACAGAAAGTTATTTTGCCCTAACAGTCTTCAAATCAAAGCAAAATGTAATGTGATGGATTTGAGTTTCTCACAGTGGTGACTGTGAAGAGTACAACCTTCTGAGGTATGATGCTATGTAGTTCAGAGACAGCCTGATACTTTGGATGAATATATCACCTCCAGCTTCAGGGTAAAATAGTCAATCATGTAAGAAAACAATAGAAGCTGGCCAAAACATTGGCTGTACGTCACTGAACTTTGTGTGTTGTATCCCAGAAGACAGAGTATCATACATTACTGAGAGCAGAATTTTTACATTTTAAAATGGTTTCCACTAGCAACATAATTAAAATCTCAGGCAGTATATCCTTCTACAAGGCAACAGGAATTTGAATCAACAAAGTCAAGTCTTCCATTCTCTGGAATCTAGACTGATCTACCATAGGACTACTGAATCTAAATGGACTATAGGGGTCAGAGTATTGATTTCATTTTTGTAGCTTGCAGAATCTTGTCCCATCCTTCTCCAGTAAGGAGTGTCATTATTGCTAGAGAAATGTGAGTTGTCAGACCATACTTTTGAACAAGTTTGTTTTACAAATTAATATTGTTATCTTCAGTATAAGCCAGTCATGTTTAGTTTGACAGCTGTATAAACAGCAAGGTCCACAAAGATGTGTGAGAGAGAGAGAGAGAGAAGGGTGGCTTAGCAGTAGGGTAAGAGATTTTTCTTCAAAGCATGGGAGGAAATGGAATCTCCAATTGTAGTTCAGATTCTTTCCAGAGGTTTAGATTTACTGGTAGTGCTGTAGAGTTAAGTAGCTTGGAATAACATCATCATCATCATCATCATCATCATCATCATCATCACTGGCACAACAGCCCTTTGTGAGCCCTGGCCTTCCTCAGGATTGCTCGCCATTCTTCTCTATTCAATGCTACATTCCTCCAATTCTTTACACCCAAAATTCTTATGTCCTGCCACAGACATTCTTCCCACTCTCCTATTTCCTATGAATCCTATGAAAAACAAAATCTCAGTGCCCCTGGACAATGGCCCTCCTGGTATCCTACTAACTCTCACTGCATGTCATATCATAATAAATATTCCATGCAAACAATTAAGCTGACAGCAACCATTCATTAATTTTGTTTTTGTATCCATAATGGCAATTGGATATGGTGTAGTTAACTTTGTATAAAGGTAAGTGAAGAAGAAATGACATTATAAGCACTTTTCAGCAATGAAGACATCATGTTTCATCTTGATGGAAATGAAGTTAGTGATCTAAAAGAGACCAAAATTAATATTATTGCTAAATTCAGTAATGGTTTAAAGTGACTTCACAACAATGTTAACAACCAATTTGATCTTTATTCTGTGCTAATGGAGTCCATCTATAAAATATCTTCAAAATTATGCTCATTGTGTCCATTTATAGTTTACAGTTTGACTCTCTGACTTAACAATAATCTCACATACTTACATACACTTTTAATAAAAAATAAAGGTACTCTGCATTTTTATTCCAGTAAACTCTTTCATCTGCCTACTCCTTCCTATAGACAATGGCAAACAAATTCATCAGATATTAACAATCAATTCCTGACCCGGTTACATATTGCTATAGTCAGAGTAAAACATTTGTCTTATTATTGATTCTCATTTCCCATAATTCTGAACCTCCTAGAGTCAACCGCAAATATTCACATTATGACCAGACAGCCTATGGTTCTTGTGCTCCTAGCAGCCTTGCTGTAACTTGCAACATACTTGTATTGTCTAACCACTGTTTGACTTCTTACTAATTTGGCTTCAATTTCCAAATCTTCTTATATTATTTAGTTCCTTATTTACTGCACATGTTTCAATTTAGTCTTAAGATAGAACATCAATCTTCACTGTTGCAATATTATTAGTTTCCTTACATGGGTCTCAGTTCCTGGCCAGCCAGTGACAGGATATGTATCACGTACTGACCAAAGAAATTTGTGAACATTTCAGAAACACAGTGACTTTGAACATCATAACTGGCCACACCCTCTGCATTTTAATCCAGTGCTGAAGTCCTCTCTCTCTTCACAAAGGTTTAAATTTATAGTTAATTCACCATAAATAGAAGCATAAAAACCATTACAAAAACTTGTGGATGTGAGGGCAGAGAAGGACGGCACATTCATACTAGAAAGTCAGGCTACTATTGGTGGGGTGGAATTGTTCTCCACGTGACGAGTACTGTGAATGGTGAATGTGTTAGAAACTTCTAATAAATAGTATTTTTAAGTTTTAGTCTGCATTAATTAGTTCCTCCATAGCAAACAAACACATTTAATTGTTAATTTGGATCAGTGATTTGTGGAAGATACCTCTGGTTTTCTCTAAAGTTAAAGGGAAAAAGCTAGAATCAGACTAGGGAACTAATAAACGATCTGTTAACGTTTATGGAAAAATAAGTGTTGTGGGGTTCCTTGATTATCCAAATAGAGCTAGTTCAGCTGAAAACAGAAAAGACAATGGATGTAACATGGAGCAGCATATAGTGAACCAAATGAGTAGGTAGGAAGCTTGAATTTGGCACAGGTATATTTTATTTTTCAAATCCTGGACAAAGAAGAAAATGGAAGAGAACTGCCCTGGATTTTGATGAATTTGATGGTTCTGAATTTTGGTTTTGACTTTCAGTGTAATACTTCAGACAAGACCTGTTCTGTCAATGTGTGCTCTTCTTCACAGCGGTACTCTCATTAAACAAAGTTGCCCCACTATGTGGAACATGCTACTGCTCCCATTGCAAAACATGGCCATGGCTGCGGGTAGTGAATGACACGGTGTTACTTTACACTTACCTTATGTGAACTAAAACAGAGGTTCTTCTATATCTGAAGTTAAATATTTAACATTTTTTTAAATCTGAATTAATGCAGATTCTGAAGGGTTCTGACAATGGTACATGACACTCTGAATTACTGGACTTTTGAACTTTGTCCATCTTCTGGTATTCTGACAAAAACACTAACAAGCGTGATGTTTCTGAAACAGATCCGGTTTCCAAAACGTTGTTTTCATTATTTTTTTAGAACACAGGAAGGCGGACAAAGTCAAAAAATCCAGTAATTCAAACTGAATTAATACGTTCCTCAGAGCACACACATTTTGATGCCAAATCAAGGGATGTAAGATATTTTCATTATCTTCACGTGCATGCCCTGTCGTGATACATACTATTATCATACACAGAAGATACATATTCAGTTAACATAACACTCTTTCCACTTTCTGAAGGTGTGGCCTTTGCAACAATGTGTTCCTGGTTCTATAGTCACATGACTGTCACACTGAGGACTACACCTCAGACACTTGCTGATCAGTACAGGAGTTGCAAAACATTTTACAAATCCTTCAAAACACAAATTCATTATTTTGTTATCTTCCCTCAGATTCCAAATCTATAGAGTGTATATGTAGAAATCAATTACAAGAGTCTGTCCATTTATGGAATTTTTGAGCCCACTAGCTGAAAATAATCACATTATGTCACATGACAATTATAATTAAGTACAAATGAAGTTCATGTACTGGGCTTGAATTCAAGAGTTTCTATTGAATGTCTTCAATTAATTTTTCTCATGTCCTGTATACTTAAAACATTTTGTGTTCATAGTCCTAAAATGCCTGAAGCATTTTCAGCAAGACTTCAATAGAATAGTGCCTTTGGGATCTTTGTACATTGCTGAAGATCCAGTCCAATAACGCCACTGGAACCAAAACTGAGGTATTTCTTTCATGTGGCATTCATGCTTTAAAGAGTAATTGAGCTGTCAAAATGTACAGAGTGTATGAGTCATACAATCCTTTAGAAAATTAATTATGAATGGCTCAAAATTAGTTCAAAGATTATGTGTGTATGTGTATGTGTATGTATTGGTGCACATATATATGCACCAATATATATATATATAAAACATTAATTATTGGATACAATTCCAGGCAGGTCCAAATTGCGTGTAATTTGTAATAGTTGTCTGTGAACACCTGATGTGCTAGAGTTCCCTTTTTTCACATGCACTATGTATATTTATTGTTGAACATTACCTAACATTTTTACTTAGTCTGAAGGAATTGTTTGTGCATGAATATCCTGATCCTCCTAGGTTGAACAAATTGACAGTAATTCTGTACAGGACTTGAAGGTTTCAGAGTGACTATGAGTGACACAATCTTCTAAGGGAATTAACAGCATTAATCAATTTGAACTTTTGCTCTGAACTGTCATGGGCAATAATCCAAGAATTCTTTATCATGACAATATTTTGTTTAATAAAATGTTTCTGTGACACAGGAAGTATGAATGACAAGAAGTGTTCCAGTCAACCTTCTGGTTGAATGATAATTCTGTAGAGACCATCCTCAAAAACTTGTCATGATCAACTCGTGAGAAAACTTGTTCAGAAAAGTGAAAGGCATTAAGGACTTTGATGTTTTATTTCTATTGTATGTATGCCATATATAAGCTAAATAAATGTGACAAAATGATAAGGATTTATGATAATGACTGTAATATATCTGATACAGACAAACTGCCATTGGCACCAGGTTGCTTGGCTTTCAGGTAACTCTGTACATAGTGCAGAAAATGAAGGTAACTGGGTTGCCGATACTTAAGATTTGTCAAAATGTCTCTCCTGGATGAGGAATAAGGAGATCATATCATGAGTCTCTCAACTGTACAGCACACACCTGAGCTGAACTGTTAAATCTATTACTTAAACTAAATGTACTCCAATCATTCACTTTTTTATAAACAACCATATATCCCTCCATGTAAGTGATCTGCATTAAATTTACAAAATCATCCTCACTAAATAGTTTCATCAAAAACATTCATTAAAACATGAGTCTAAGACTGAAGTATGGCATGTCAGCCTTTTCTTAATATTTGTAAACAACACGGGATCATTCCTTTCATCTTCCATATTTATGATTATGCTACTCAATCATGTTCCTCCAAACCCCAACTGCAGAATTGAAGCATGATTGGTGGTCAGGGCCAGGATTCAGTTGGAATGAATCATGAAAATTACAGGAATACCTCAGTTAATATTATCAGTCACTGGATTTGGATTTTGATCCCAGAATCTTCCAAGTATGTAGAAGGAGTGTTAACAACTTGACCATGTTTCATTTATAATATAAAATTCAAATCATTGCACCAAGTGAGTTATTTTGTGGAAGTGTATATTTTATGAACTGTTTGCATCTTAGTTCTCCATCTTATGTCTGGTTTACAGTAATTCTGAGCAATATTGGACTTCTTGGCCATATTTCTAAGACTTGGCCAAAAGGGCTCACACTGAGTCTCCTTGCTGCAAATCAAAGTGAGGCTCTAGTTTAACAAAAAAACTTATGAACTGTGTTTAGAATTGTTGTTATTTTGTGGGGGGGAAGGAGTTGAAGTTCTTGAAATGTAAAAGAATTCACTTTTAATAAACAGAACAATTTTATATCCATTTAAATGCCAATTACAATGTCCTTATTCCTGAAGGGTTTAGAATGAGAAGGACTTTAAATTCAGTGTCATGTACCAATAATAATGGCCTTACTGCTACATTTGTAAATAATATAACTAGAAACTTGTGGTGCATGAATAAGAAGGCAATATTCTGCAGTGAAAAACTATCTGGGACCAATGGATTTCTCTATATGCCTTTTTCCTTTTTTCATTGTAGACAAGGGTTCGTGAATGTGACACACCCCATTCTGCACTGAACAGTTTCCAGGATTTTCCTGCAATTGTTGACACGACATACTTCTCACAAGACAGCTGGACCAGTACAATGGCTTTCAACAAAAATCTTTCATACATACCACAGCAAAACTGTGACATTTATCAGAGCACTTACCTAGCTTGTCAGCTACAATGGTGCGCCAAAGTACAGTAAAACCTTGCTGTTATAATATTGCTTTATAAGAAACCTTAACTTTCAAATGAAACCTCTGCACCAATTTTGTTTTGTGCATAATATATCCTCAAGAAAATCTTTGTTATTATTCAGAATATTAACAACAGTTTATTTATTTACCAAAGCTGCTGAATAATATGGTGATAGAAACTACTGGAACCATGTGTACTTCCCTGACTACAACCCTCTCCTCAGAAGTAGGTCATATATGCAAGCAGACTGCATGTTGATTATTTCATATATCAAATAAGCAAAATACAATATATATATATATGAGCTAATCATTCTTTACTACAACCGTCAAAGACTCTCATTTACAAAGTGATCAAAGTCAAAATGTTTCATCAATATTAGTTGTGCTCCTACTCACAGAAAGAACAAAACAAAATCAGTGTGCCACTGTAGAGATTATACAGATTCCTTGCGAAAAGAAAATCAAGATCTCTGTGAACAAAAAGTTGGCCAATGGATTTCTCAACTATTGTTGCTCAGCATCAGTAAGTGAAAACTACCAGAAATGGTGAAATGATAAGCGGAGTCTTGTACGATTCTAAACCCAAATTCACCATGGACTCACTGTAAACTGTATGAGTTGCAGAGGTTTGCTGTAGCCCTGAGTAAATTAGGTGTCCACTGAAAACATCTCTTAAGTAAGAGCAGTCACACATTATTTTAAAACTTTCCACCACTGATATGTGAAGTATAATTTGTCACACTACTGCCAGGAAAACTGATTTTATCTTAAAATATATAATTTCAACTCTTAAAATTTGAGAACTGAGATCTGTAAAAGGAAGTGCAATGTTTAAATATAAACAATAATTTGACTGTAGCACTTCGAATTTTAATGGGTTGCACACAGTTATTGGGAATCTTTGTTAGGTTCCTTTCAGGTATGTAGCAATAAGGTTTTACTGTAAGTTAAAGCAGATAAACAGTATAAATATTACAAACATATATACACATGTTTTTGCTGATTGATCATCTAACTGGAGGACTTCTAAAGGGTTGTCCCATGTTTGGGAGTTTTAAACATTGATCTAGTCAATACTGAACATTTAAACACCACCAGAGCGTACAAAAACAAAGCAAGCTATTGGACAGTCTCACAGATATTTCAATATGTGACTGTTGAGAACAGAAATGAATTCATGTGCTGTTGTATAAAAAGATGAATCTGGAGTGTTTAAATGTTTTGCACGAAATCACAGTTAAGCCCCATCCAGTTCCCACAATAATTGCATATACTGGATCTTACCTGAACCTTCTGATGAGAAGGCAGATTGTCAGAATATCTGGTACAATTTCTTTACAAGCAAAATTCCAGTCTCTGGGTTCTCAGTTAATGAGACAATTCCAATGAATCAATCACAATACAGCTTTCTTCTCAACAACATTCACATCTCACGCTTGTGAATTTCTTCCAGCAGAAATCTCACGTTTGTACTCATATTATTTACAGGTTTACTGATTGCTTGTGCATGGGGTCTCAGAACTCTCGTACTGTTCCATATGTACACATGGGTCATCCCAAGTCGAGGCAACTTTGAGCACTAGTTAAGAGAACTGTGATCATCTCTCAACATGACTTAGCAACTTCACTAAAGTCTCTAAAACAACTGCCAGAAGAGCAACTGTGGCTGGTAGGTATATTCTGTTCAGCTGTGGGGCTCCATTTGTCTCAATGCACTGACCTGAATATAAAATAAAATCTCACTAACTTAATTTGAAACGATCATATGAACACTTCTTACCTATGTAGTGTATTTACAACACTAAGGGATCAAAATTTTGATTAAGTAATTAGTATATCTGACTGCACATGAATGTCGGAAAGCAACTTTCTCACCATGTCAATATTTTGAGAGCAGAGGCCATACAATCCTTTCAAATCAGAAGACCTTAATCAAAGACATGGGAGTTATTGAGGGCTGGCAACAAGATTTCGTTGCTGTATGACCTGTGTAGCTGAGAGAGAACTGATCAAACGAATTCTCATCTACACAGGTCATAGAGCATCGAATGAGAGGATAATTGAATGATGAATTACAAAGATGTGGAAGAAAGTGCTCATGGCTTATTGCAATGCTAATACCACGGTATTTTCCTAGAGACACTAGGGATAACAAGTAAGAACCCTACCTGGTTAGGTGATCTTCAGACTGAGAATTACTCACAAGAAGTTTCTATTAATTGTGTATTAGAAATTGAGGAACTGTGTAGCCTATGTGAGAGCTGAGGTTTGCACAGAGATGAAAATTTGGATTGTGGTTTTCTGGGAAATGGCCTTGCACAGTCTAGTTTATGGTTAACAGCACTTCAGAGGAATTTTTGCATCCACTTTTGTGTACTCCTACTTTGACAATGTGTTGCAGTTTTCTACAGAACATTGGTAAATACCTACCATATTCTGAAGGGCCAAATGAGAAACTACAAGTGCCTTGCTGGGCCAGAAAACTTTATAACATGCCACTGTGGAAACAAATATCTTAATTACCTCCATCAAAGAAAATATCTGTAGACAATTTTATGTGGACACAAAAAATCTCAATGTCTTTTCAGTCATTGAAATTCCTGCTTTTGGAATCATGTAAGAGTATATGTTCTTGTCACCCTTGTGTACTGAGGCAAAATAACTTCACCACAACACAGATCATTAACAACTCATATAAAGGGGGGGGGAATGCTGCCCAGACTTCAGAGGATGGCATATAACACTCAAATCTCCTGTTCTGACAGAAGAGGCATGGAGAAACAAACCTCAGGGGTTCAATATTTTAAATGTTGAGAACACTAATAATATATTTTTAATTTAAACACCTTTTAACATTAATAATTATAAATCTTTATACAAAAGTTTAAGCATATGTACTGCGATCTATGTAATATTGTTTCCTTAGCATATTGTTATCGCCTTCTGAAGATGGACACAACTGAGTGAAACATGTAAAGGCACAATATAAACATATACTGAATCACCCTGGACGGTGTTGTCAATTCATTTTATAATAATTAACTAGTGTGATGGTCCAGAATGAATAAAGTTAAAAATTGTTAAAGTGATTTCCTTTTACAATGTTGGAAAGACGGCCAAACTAGGCTGAAATACACGTATGTAAGTTAGTCATGTTATAAATAATTAAAAATTGGTAACACTGAATGAAAATTGTATTCATTTAATAACTGAATATTATTAATAAATTGTTTCATACTTCTGAAAATTTGAAGTCACAATGGGGAAAATTTAATTCACCATCAGTTTTGTTCATATACACATTGCATCTAAAAAAGGTAATCATGGGAGGGGAAGACTCATTACTTTTCAGTCACACTTTGTATAATGAAAACTGCTGAACCAATTACAAAAATGAATTATACTTATTATTTGGTTGATAAAGAATCAGAAGGTAGAGGTTGACAGATGGACTGGGTATATTTCCAGCAGCAGCAGCAGTAATAATAATAATAATAATAATAATAATAATAATAATGAGCCAAGGGGAAGAACAGGCACAGATCCTCTCCGACCCCAGGAATATAGATGCGAATATATAGCCTCTCTATACTCAGGACCGTCCATGTGCGATGAAGAATCACACCCTACAAGAGGTAGCCCCGTTGAACATCTTAAGAGAACATGGCGGATCTAGAGGAGTAAACCTTGAAAAAAAATCCCCTAGCTCAAAGTGTACACTACCGTGCTGATGGACTACAGGAGCACCTGCGGCGGAGGGTGAGAAGCCATAAACGGTGAACTCCAAGGAGCGGCGACCCTTGGTTACAAGCAGCCTTACTGCGGCAGGCGGGGCAATACTGCAGCGGACAGAATAATTCCCTAGCTACTCGTGGGACAGCGATGGAAAAAAATGCAAATGAATATATGAGTATGTACAAAGGCAGAAGGAGTAGAGCGCAATCCTCTAATGATCAACAAGGCGAGAATGGTAACCACAAAGAGGAAACTCAACGTGGACCACCTCCAAAACAACCCAACGTCAAGGAACCAAACAACGAAGACAAAGCTACTATACGGACCCGATGGAACAAAGAGGAAATGAAGGAAGTTGTGTGGTGTTTCCTGGCATCAACAGGAAATTACAAGGAAGCATATGAATTATGGAGAAGCAGAAGTCTAAAAGTAAGGCCAACAATGAATGCAA